GCCATGCAACTGTAACTGCATACCCAGCGCAACGACTTTACCCCACTGCACTCCTTTTTTTATTATATTGAAAATTCAACAAATTATCTATACTTTTTATTATATATATGGTAATAACACATCTAATTTGTTCGAAATGTAATGCAAATTGCCGAGCCGCGATTTGATATCACGAAAGAAGCCCCACGTACAATACTTATTGGTTGATGCTTGATCCATATATAGAAGAAATGAAATTAGGAGGTTCGAAGAGCAGTATATACGGTGTATTTGGGCTCTTTAGCTCTTCGGTATACACACTTTAATCCCTTTTCAAAATATTTTTTTTTTGTTCTGAGGCTAAGATACCGTTCAACGACAAGAGCTTAAAGCGCGTTTTTATGAAAAATGTATTTTTAAACGCGTGCACACATATTTTTGTTACATTCTTGTTTATTTGTACGTGTACGGAGATTGAATAAAAACGTATTTATATACGTACTAGCTTATACCCGCGGGTTTTACCCCGCGCTTTTATACAAATAGGAAAAATAATTTAATGATGTTAGATTTTATTTCTGTGCCCATTTCGTTATAGCTCGTTATTTTTTAAGCGAGTTAAGGTATTTAGGCCGTTTAAAACTATGAAATTATAAAATCTCGTCTGCGCGCTAGGCATACGAAAGATATCAATCCCTCTAAGTTTACCTTAAAATGGTTCCAGGTATACGACGCGTGAACGTGTAACCTTCTTGGAGGTGCCACGGCGGGTTCTAATATTTCCAACTCAAATTTAGTAACCTGGCCTTGATAAAATACCACTTCTCATTACTGTAGCAAATGCCTCAAGAGAGCTTTAGATTATAAGGCCGAACCCGGCTCTCCCTTTTCCATTTAATGAAATTTATTCTGTCAGTACGGCACTTATAAAATAAATCTCCATAACAAATTTAAAATACTTCGAGAGATTTTCTATCCTTCCAGAGATATGTATTAAGAAGTTTTTAGTATGTATGGGAGGCGACATGCCTCCTTTTTTAATAACTCACATTTTTTCCATGAGCAATTGATACATTTTGCATACACAACTCCATACCAAGTTCCAGTATTCTTCCACAATCACTTTCAGGGATATATGGCAAGAAAAAGTCAATTTGTGTAGGAAGTGGCACGCCCTTTTTCTTATAACCCTTCTTATAATCTTCTTCCATTAATTTAGAATTGATTTTACATACCCCAGTACCAAGCCCCAGTACTCTACCATGAACACCTCTAGAGATAAGCAGTATAAAACAGTAAATTTGTACGGTAGGAACCATGTCCCCTTTTCGAACAACGCAAATTCTCCTATATAAGTATGGAATTAATTTTGTATACCCATCTCGGTGCCAAGTTCCAGTCCTCTGCAATAAACACCTCCAGAGATATACAGCATAGAAAAATCAATTTGCATGGGAGTTGCCACACCACCTTTTCCAATAACCTTCATTTTTCTCCATGAGTATGGTACACGCATACATATTGCTCGAGCACCTCCAGCCCCTACCTGGCTACGCCCATGTTGGTATATATCTTAATGAAAATGCACACCAAATTGCTTAGATTGATGAGGAAACCCGACTTAGCCATACCGGATTAACTTGCTTTGTGTGCACAGGGAAATTCCAGCATAACTTAATTAATCACCAAACCTACTTGATCAAATTAAGAGTTAATGATTAAAAATTAATTTTTTAATCGCGGTTACGATTAACTGTTTAGTCGGATTAAAATTAATCATGATTAACTGTAATCAGATTGAATTTAATCGAATTAACAAACTAATTAAAACATCAATCGATTAATGCCAACATTGATTTCACATACATATCACTATACCAAGTTTCAGTTCTCTGCCACAAATACTTCCAGAAATATTTATGTAATATGAAAATTCCAATTTGTAACAAATTTCATCCTGATCGGAAAACCGGTTAAAGAAGTAGCCTATTTTTCAATCCAGGTCATAAACTACCTTTGAGCAAAATTTCGTTTTCAAACAGGTGGCAACTCTTCCAAAAAATTAGCCTATTTTCCAGTCTAGGTCATAAGCTATCTGCTTGCAAAATTTGATGCAAATCCGTGCAGACTTTTCCGCGTATTAATTTAATTAAACTTTTTGAACAGTTGGCAACTCTTCCAAAAAATTAGCCTATTCTCCACTGCAGGTCATAAGCTATCTGTGTGCAAATTTTCATGCAAATCCATTCAGTCGGTCCCGCATATTAAATAAATGAAACTTTTTTTAACAGGTGGCAACTCTTAAAAAAAGTAGCCTACTTTCTAACCTAGGTCATAAGCTAACTGTGTGCAAAATTTCATGCAAATCCGTTTAGTCGTTTCCGCGTATTAATTTAATTAAACTTTTTGAACAGTTGGCAACTCTTCCAAAAAATTAGCCTATTCTCCACTGCAGGTCATAAGCTATCTGTGTGCAAATTTTCATGCAAATCCATTCAGTCGGTCCCGCATATTAAATAAATGAAACTTTTTTTAACAGGTGGCAACTCTTAAAAAAATAGCTAACCAATCTCGCCCATAAGCTATCTGCGTACAAAATTTCATGCAAATCCGTTCAGTCGTTTCCGCGTGATGATTTCCCAAACATCCAAACATACAAACTTTCACATTTATAATATTTATAAGATGTAAGTGTATTATAAGAGGCCTTGAGCGCCAGAGCAGCTTAACTGACATTTCAAAAAAATTTAAGGTACACCATAAAATTGATTACCAGAATCGAAACGGTAATAGCCCAAGGTACGCCCGTTTAGTTTTCTTTTACTACAATATGTAGCATCACGCAAGGCATATTAAACAAGGAAACCGACTATAAGGTCAAATGATGAATAACTATTAACCCTTTTCAAGTTGGAATTTTCTATTTTTCAGTTCAAATTCAATTACGTGCTGCGAGATAGTTTAGAATTGTGTGTTTTTTTTTTTGTTTTTCGACCACATCCATTTATGTAGGATTGGAATGAATTGGTACTAGAACAGACCTAACAGACACATCATTGCCGACAAATGCAACCATGCGTACAGGACTCAGGATAAACGATCGGACGACACTGAACACACCCCAAACTGGACTTCGACAAGATGAACAACCGGACAGAAGGATCACTGTAAAATCAACCGACTTCAAGCCTAGTTCGCGAAATATTGATTCTCGCAAATAATTGTGTGTAAAGTTATATATGTATATCTGTGCGTGTAATAAAGGCTGAAACTAACAATTTAAAAAACTGTTTTACTACAAAGTGGTGTCGTAAAGTGGCATAAAATCCACTCCGTGAATGTGAAAGAACTGTGTGTTTTGCGAAACTTTTTGTGCGTGTGCATACATATGTATGTATGTTTCTTGTGTGTGCGATAGGCTAGCCAGTGCCGAAAATTAAAACTTAATAATTTAAAATCACAAGTTGATACCTACGACCAGTAAATCGAATTCTTAAACGTAAAAAATCTATGCAAGAAAACATTTTGTGAAAATATAGCTGGAAAAAGTAATGGCGATTTGAGCACGCCACACAAACCGCTACTCGCGAAGTAACGCTAACAAACGGTTAAGTTCGGTTGCGTGGAAAATTTCAACTCGGCCAAACCAACGAGTACATACATAGGCGTTCTAAAATTGAACGTTAATAAAAAACCGGTGTTATAGAAAACGTCTGCAGGCAACGTGTGTGTGCGACGCGTTTGAGCGGAATTCGACCGTGTGTGACTGTGGAGCGATTTCAGCCATAAAAATCTCCCCTTTCGACGCGTATATAGTAAAACTGTATCACGCCATTCAGTGGACCGTTACCCAAGATACAGTTACTATATTACGCATTGCTCCATGTACAGCCATCAAGCTGTAGGAGCAATCGAGGGTACCGCTAAGCCCGTTAAACAGTGAAGTGCGCGCAACGACAAGCGTGCGCGGTAGTGAACAGTGCGCAACAGCAAGTGTGCGCAGCGTCAAAGTGCGCGCGGCATCCAAGTGCGCGCAGCAGTAATTGTGCGCAACGGCAATTTGCGCGCAACAGAAAGTGTGCGCAAAAATGATGTGTGCGCAGTCCAGCGACAAACGCATCGAGTGACGTTTAATGCGACAGTGAAACGGTGCCATAGCCAGGTAGTATCGTCAACGAGGGACGGATTCAGCAAACGCACGCATCGAAGCGGCGTACATAGCGGCGTTTAAAGCGACAATGAAACGGTGCCAGAGCCAGGTAGCATCGTCAACGAGGAATGGGTGCAGCAAACGCACGCATCGAAGGGGCGCACATAGCGGCGTTTAACACGGCAACGAAACGGTGCCAGAGCCAGATAGCACCGTCAACGAGGGACGTTAACAAGTGAAGTACAGCGAGTAATTGGACAGCGGCGAGGGAGAAGAAGCATACGTATGTAGCTCAGCTAAGTCAATAAGTTTCTTTTGAGCAAAGCAATTTCATGTAATTTAAATACGTTGTTATTTCACAAATCGTTCAGTATACTATACATATTTTTATAATATTACATCAATTTAAATTTTACATTGTAACCAGTAATTTTGAAACTCTGTAGACATGGACCGCGACGAAATTTTTGCATTGACTGTAGAAGGACTGAGGGAAAAATTGGAAGGGTTGGGGCTTGACACTAGTGGATGTAAACCGACGTTACGAGACAGACTCCTCGAACACTTTGGCCTGAACGCTAGTGATGACGACGGTGGCGATTTTAACGACGCGGCGAGCGGTCGAAGCGTTCCAGCAACCCGGGCTAATCGCCCAATGTTCACGCTCCGCGATATAGAACACTCGCTTTCGAAGTTTAGCGGTTTTTGGTCAACCCACCTTCGAGCAGTGGCTGGGGGACTTCGAGGACAACGCGACGGCGGGGCAGTGGAGTGACCTACAAAGACTAATCTACGCTAAGCAGCTATTAACGAGCGCGGCAAAATTTTTCGTAAGAAGCCAAAACGGAATGTGCAGTTGGGATTCGCTAAAATCAGCACTGCGTTCCGAGTTTGGAGGTCGAGTTTTTGCAGTCGAGGTACACCGCACCCTCCGCAATTGCCGTCAGCGTCCGGGAGAAAATCTCCGCGAATATTTGTACGCGATGATGGAGATCGGCAAACCAATTGACCTGGACGATACCAGTCTGATGGAATACTTCATCGAAGGAGTCCCAGACAGCAAGATGAACAAGAGCAACTTACATCAGGCGAGAAACATCAAGGAGCTGAAGGACCAAATCAAGATGTTCAAGAAAGTACGTGCAAATAAATCTGCGCCTACAAACGCGAGTCAAATGCAACCTACATTTTCCACCAGAGTTCCCGCGGGTAGCGGCGCGATTAGCAAGCGTTGTTTCCACTGTGGTGATGGCTCACATCAAGCGCGGAACTGTCCACGCAAAGGCGTTGTTTGCTTCAACTGTGGCGACAGTTCACATTTGGCTTGGCACTGTTCGCGTAAGGGTATTACCTGTTTCAAGTGTGGTAACAGAGGGCACCGAACAGTCTCGGCATTGATTGACACGGGGTCAGACCTTTCGTTAATGCGTAACGACACGTTGGTGATGCTAGGCCTCGGTGTCGAAATAAGAGAAGAGAAGCGTACATATATTGGTGGGCACGGGAACAGCGCGCTGACCACAATCGGCGGTTTTAGTTTACCCGTGCGCATCGATTGTATTGCAGTGGACATCACATTCCATGTGACGAAGGAGCCAGATCTCAGCTACTCCATGGTCATTAGAAATGACGTCCTGAAGCAAGTCGATCTCATCGTGAGCGAAGACGGCGCCGTGTTTAAGAGTAAGGCGACAGAGCCCAGCGGGCGCAAGGAAGCACTCGAGCGCAAGGCAGTAGCCGGAAATTAAGCTGGTGCAGGACGAGACGGAGCAGATCCATGCGAAGGTGCAATGGCGCGTGAGGTTGTCGCCAGTAGGCAGGTGAAGGAGGGTCTTGGAGACTCGATCAGCGAGGCTTGGACTTCGTCTGCAAAGTTATCAAGGACGCAGCTAGCAGACTCCGAGAAAGTGCTAGACAAGCAGACGCGGCTAGAATTGAGCGTGGGCATGACGAGATGCCAGGTGGTGTCAGTGGACATGGTTCGAACGCGGGGAAGTGTGGTCAGATCGTGAGATCACCATGCGACTCCAGGCAAGGCAAGTGTATACGAGCGGGGTGCGGGATGTGTGAAGTTTCGCGAAGAGAGACCTTTGAGTCACATCATCGAGCTGCAAGCGGCGTTTGAAAACATGTATGTGGCGGCAGGAACGGAACAGGAGGCAGAATACGAGGTGGATCCCCTTCATCTAAGTAAGAAGCGAGCAGACAGGGTACGGAGTTTGATAGGAGCCTACATGCCAGCCAAGAACTCCGTATCACCGGTGAAGATGAAGATTCTGTTGACGGACAATTTTCCAGTATTTAAACGGCCAACGCGTTTGACCTATGCGGATTGTAAAATAGTTGAGGAGCAGGTAGCAGCATGGCTGAAAGAGGGCATTATACAGCCGAGAAACTCAAACTACGCATCACCGGTCGTTCTCGTAGCCAAGAAAGATGGGAGCAAACACCTCTGCTGCGATTATAGGCATCTCAACGAAAATATCGTTCGCGATAATTTCCCAATGCCGATGATCGATGACGTTATCGAACAGCTGCTGGGAGCCAACGTTTTTTTTTCACGCTCGACCTCCTAAATGGATTCTTCCATGTTCTGGTGCAAGCAGACTCGAGGAGGTACACGTCCTTCGTGACACACAACGGACAATTTGAGTTTTTGTACGTACCATTCGGCATATCCAATTCAACGGCAGTTTTCTCGAGGTTCGTGTCTGTGGTTTTGAGCGACCTGGTACGTAGCGGAACGGTTGTGGTATACATGGATGACTCGATTATTCCCGCCAAGGATGAAGTCGAGGGCATCCAGAAGCTGGAGCTGGTGTTGGAGGTTGCAGAGGCGAATGACCTAAACGTTAAGCGGAGCAAGTGCCAGTTTTTACGGAAGAAATAGGTTTTCTGGGGTATATAATTATTATCATTACCATTATATATCTCTACAAAGATTCCTTGGATTCACGTCCTACTTCCATAGATTTATCGAGAACTACGCTATCATCGCCACACCAATCCCCGATCTACTCAGGAAAGACTCGAAGTATGTGCTCCAGGACGAACAAGTAGCAGCGTTCCAGCAACTTAAAGCAGCTCTAGCCAGGGCGCCAGTCTTGAAGCTGTATAACCCCAAGACGATGACCGAGGTGCATACCGATGCCAGCAGAAATTGCAGAAAGACTTCGACGATCAAGAGCTTCACCCAATCCAGTATATGAGCCGAAAGACGAAGCCGTCCGAGGAGAAACTGCATTCGTACGTACCTCATGGGAATCAAGTTCAAGATCGTCACCGACTGCAATGCCTTCACGATGACGATGAAGAAGCGAGATACTCCTCTGCGAGTATTCCGATGGGCGATGTTTCGACTACGAGATCGAGCACCTCAGCGGCACGAAGATGCGTCACGTCGATGCCCTTATCCGAGTGTCATGCCTGATCTAGGAGGATTCGCTACGCCACCATCTGAAACAGGCCTAGCAGCAGGATGACTGGATTTGAGCTGTGCGAAAAGTGTTGGAAAAAGACAGTTTCGACGACCTTTATGTCAAGTACGACATCCTCTACAAAGATTCCATAAAGGAGCTTGTAGTTGTGCCGTCGGCTATGGAGGAAGAGATCATCCGAGTGGCGCATAACCAAGGCCACTTCTCAGCAAAGAAGACGCAAGATGCTATAGAGAAGACGTACTTCATACCACAGCTGTACGTAAAGGTCGTCAAGATCGTCAGGAGCTGCATAGAGTGCATCGTTGCCAATTCCAAGGCCGGCAAGAAGGAAGGCTTCCTGAACCCCTTAAATTAGGAGGACAAACCACTGAGTACCCTCCAAATTGACCATGTCGGACCGATGGAGCTGACTAGGAAAGCCTACAACCACATCTTAGTCGTAATAGATGCCTTCTCCAAATTCGTCTGGCTTAACCCGACAAAGAACACCGGCGCAGAGGCTGTCGCTGACCGGTTGCGGAAGCAGTCAGCACTTTTTAGGAATTCTAGGCGAATAATAACGGACAGAGGCGCTGCCTTCACCTCCAATCTCTTCAAAGATTACTGCGAGAGTGAATGGATCGATCATCTTCTAATAGCGACGGCAGTGCCTCGTGGTAACGGGCAGGTTGAGCGACCGACGATAGCGAAGCTGAGTCAAGGCCTCACCGTTCAAGATATTGACAGGGGTGGATATGCCGATGAAGAGAATCCCACAGTTGCAGGAGCTACTGGAGAACGAGCTCATCGACGAACTAGATGTCGAAAGAGAGAAACATTGCCGAGATGCAGCTGCAGAACCGCAAAACGTTCGACAAACACCGGCAGGCTGAGACCGAGTACGCCATAGACGAGCTAGTAGCCAACAAGCGAACGCAATACGGGTCTGGGTTGAAACTGAAACCTAAATATCTTGAACCGTACAAGATCGTGAAGAGAATGAGATGCGGGCTATACACCGTCAAGAAGATCGGGGACCACGAAGGCCCAAACCGCCCCATTACAGTCGCCGAATTCATGAAAATATGGAATCCGTCCTCCGAGGCCGAATGATCGCGCAGGATGGCCGAATGTAGGATTGGAATGACTTGGTACTAGAACAGACCTGACAGACACATCATTGCCGACAAATGCAACCATGCGTACAGGACTCAGGATGAACGATCGGACGGCACTGAACACACCCCAAACTAGACTTCGACAAGATGAACAACCGGACAGAAGGATCACTGTAAAATCAACCGACTTCAAGCCTAGCTCGCGATATATTGATTCTCGCAAATAATTGTGTGTAAAGTTATATATGTATATCTGTGCGTGTAATAAAGACTGAAACTAACAATTTTAAAAACTATTTTACTACATTTATAGATACATATCGCTAGCTTAGAGTGAAAAGTTGCTAAGCCCCAATTTAAAAATTGTCCATTAGAGGAAAAAACTTATTTTATCCATTTTCTTCAAGTTTTTCGCAAAAATTTGAATACAACATTTTGCCAGTTTAAAGCAAAGCAAAACTCCATACGTATCCGAGGGATTCGATCTTTATTAAAAGAGTTTGTACTATTTTGGCCTTATCGAATTTTCGGAGTATTTTTTGGACTTGGCAAATTTCCCTTTCATTGATTGTAAACGAGAAAACATAAAACAAGGACCTTTATCTTTTTCAAAATGATGCATTTTTCATTTCTCTAGCCTCCTGTATCAAAATATGAGCTTTCATAAAAAGTGGACTCCAAGCTAGCGATATACAAAAGGAGCAGGAACCACGAGCGTTGCGCTGTGTGTGATAAGAGCCAAAACGTTAAAGTGGTGCGATACTTTAAGGCGCCTAGTTGCGAAGTTAGAAGACTTCGTTGGGAGAACAGCTGCGGTGTTTAATCTGTGAAAAGCATTTCAACGCGAATTATTTTGTTACTTGCCCATTGCAGGCAAATATTTTTAAGCGCATGCGTTTATACCCAGGTGCAGTTCCCATGCCCTGGGAGGTTCCTGTGCCTGAAATGCCTGAAGAACACGAAAGTTCAGAAGTGACGATATCATCTATTGAGGCTGCAAGAAATAAGTAGTTTCTTACAAAATTCTGCATACATAAGCACGTCAGGACCTAGATTTACACTGATATACATACATACAATGTAGATGAAAACATTAAACTATTTTTTTATAAGTGCCCCATGATTTTTAGAATTAAATATTTAAATAAGAAACTAAACGCACAAAAACATTGGGCGAATAAAAACAAAAAAATGTATAAAACAATTTCATAAGACATCTCTTTCAATTTATTTACTTAGTTTCCTTTATGAGGTATTCGCTCCGGTCCATATGTATTTATGTATATGTACATATAAGATGCGAATGCAATTAAAATTCTTTGAAGGTAATATTGAAGTAATTCTTAAAATTATTATATGTATATATGTATGTATTTATGCTGATGGGTTTCAATTGATGCTAACTCAAGTAGCACACTGGTGTATAACTTGGTGTATATTTATGAATTTTGGTACATATGTGTTAAGATTAAAAAAAAATAATGTTTTGGTGTATTTGTCATCCCGCCAGTACTTCTTCTCAAATCAAAATTCTGCCTTTAACGTTTTGGTACTATTGATTCATTGAGATTAGTACGAAAACTGCACCAGCTCCTAAAATGCACCACGCTTTTTATTTGGTTCACAAATTACTCAACGTTGACAAATGTCATTAAGCATTCGGCGATATGCCGATTTTAATACCAGTCCCTTCTCATCTCGCCATTTAAATATTTATTCCACAGCCATTGAAATGGAGATACTGAAGGAATATTCCGCAGATGATATAAAATGTAAACTTGTTTGTTTACATCCATATGATCCGGAATGTAGCCAGAATAACCAGTTTTTTAATGCTAAAAAAGGCGTATTCTTTCCTTTAATTCACACTTTGTAACCCCGTATACATTTTATTCCTTCATTCAAATAAAAAATACAACACTTAAGTTAAAAACATTCATTTTATTATCTCCGTTTTTATACATACATATGTATTTTGTTAGACACTGAACTGTATCTATTTTAATGGAAAATTCTTAATGATAAATACATAAATAAACAGGGTAGGGTTTAGTATACATATCGTCATTTTAAGTACAAAACCTAAGAATGAAAACAAACAAATAAGACGAAAAATGTGTGGAGGTTGAGTGCGATTATATTGGCATTTATCATCAAATATAATAACTGAAACTGAATAAAAATGAAAGTGTTTTGCAACCAAGTAGCATCAGCACAGTTCGATTTTTTCTGACCACAAAAGTGCACCCACTTTCCACGCAAATTTACGCCTCTTTGCAACCCAAACCAACGCACAAACTTGTTCAAATCACAAAGCACTTCATTTATATCATATATTCGTAATAAATCAAAATTTATAGTTTAAATCGCTGCAGAAAATACATCAAGTCGCTGAAAAATCACTATGAAGAGGTTGAAGACGATGTCAACAAAACCAAAAAACATCAAAAACGCTACGAAAACTTTTTCCCGAAAATCGCCACGTATGCTGCTGACTCTGCCTATAAGCTGGATATCTGAAAAATAAGAAAAAATAGCAATTATCTCTTGATAATATAATAAGAATGTTTGTTTACAAAATTACCTCTTTCCGCAATTCCTGATAATTTCTGTGGGCAATTGACAATTGTCCAAAGAATTCACCAAAAAATGAATATTGAATACACCACGCGGCCGCTTTGTTTCTTTACAGATATTTATCACTAGCAAGGCGAATTTGCACAAGATAGTGTTATACCATGTTCGGACCGACAACGAAAATACTTTGAAAACGAGTTTTGGGATTGTGTGCTGTAAGCTGTTCGCACCGGCTGTTAGAGTTTTCGTTGACAATTCTTTCATCCTTTGTTTACAGTTTCGCTAAGAAAAAACAAAACCAAAATATTTTTCTTTCATTTTCTTATTATTAGGAACCTTTATCGTTTATTTATATTTTAATTTGGCCAGCNGTTTTTCTTTCATTTTCTTATTATATTATTATATTTTAATTTGGCCAGCCAATTGGCAATAAATCCCAACTAGCATATTAGAGATGATAAAATATGACTTACACTTCGATAAATATATCTAAAAAACAAGTGAAGACACCGATTGGAAT